GGGTGCAATTGTAAATGGGATCGACTCCTTAATTTCTCTTTCTTCTGTCTTGTTGTTGGTGTATAGGAATGCCACTGACTTCTGTGCATTGATTTTATATAGTCAGGTGCGTTTTTGCCATAGGGTGTGTAGATGAGTGCGCATACACCTATGAAAAGATAGCGAAAACAGCGTTTGCGAGGTAGAGACCCTGAAGTTGTCCTCTGTGTATTTGTTACGAAGACCGAGTCCGTAGCAAAGTAAAAGAGTCTACTCTTCATGCCCCTCTCCCCAGCATCACTTCCACTGTCGTGCGATTTTGGTGGATGTGTGCTCGTGGGTGCCGAGGGCCTGCCGAGGAGCTGGGTGGTCTCGCGGCTGCGCTGTGGCTTTGACAGCCCGGTTTCCTGGTCTTCCCCGTGACGGGGCCGGGCCGGTGCCCTGCATGATCCTTCTGGACAAGTGTGTGGGAATTCTGTGAAATACAGGGGCAGCACCGGGGTTTCAGGACGCAGAGTAGTTCTCGAATGCTGAGCCACTGGACAGCATCACTCTGCCAGCAAAGTCCATCTCAAAATGCAAACTACTCGAGATATTTTACTTCGGATGATGCTTTATTTTAGAAGCCGTGGTGGTGTTTTTCCTTGAAGAGAGCTCAAGTCCTTGCAGCAAGCAGCCTTGGAGAAGATGTCTTCGGTCTGTGGCGGTCAGCCGGGGTGGTGCAGCGCATGCCGGGGGAGCCACGGGCACCAGCAGGCAGGAGGCATGGATGCTGCTGGGCCACATTGCAGTCTAAGGCAGAGGATATGGCGGGTATTGTCACGGACAGAGGGACGCAAGCAGGGGGAGTCTAGAGCAGAGGGTGCTGACGTCTTATGTTTGGGAGGTCACACTCCTGTAAAACGGGCCCCACGGCAAAGCCCTTCAAACTTTCTTGGGCGGGAGGGACCTGAACCGTGGAACAACCGGGACGTTGGAGGTTGTCTCCTTCAGGTCACGTGCATATGTGGTGCGCGTGTGTTTTCGTACAGTTCATGGTGTTGGTCCTGCCCTTTCACCTCCCATTTTATCACAGGTGGTTCCTGCGTTCAGGGAGAATGATGGTGCGGCATCCCCAGGGAGGAACAGGGTAGCCAGCTGGACCGTGCAGGGAACAGCCCGTTAAGCAAAGACCAGAGCGGACCCAGGTGGACTTCAGCAGCAGCTGCCGTGCTGGGCTGGCTTCTTTTGTGCCAAGGACAGATGAGAAGGGTGTCATTTTCCTTCCAGCATAGAAAGTAGATTTTTACGAGAAGAAAGGAACTTGTCAGTGGTGAGCTGCCTCCGTGGGGCCAAGAGCACATGCTTGACGCCCTTCCCTGGTGTTTCGGACGTGGAAGCCTCTTGAACTCTTGTATCTTCTTTCCCGATTAG